AACTACAATTGAAGTTTGAACTAAGTGTAAACACTAAAACAATTGCCCTGTGGCACAACAATGGAGTAAAAAGATTATTATATCAGCACTCCAAAAATATCTTGTGAATAGATCAAATCGGCGCTTCATCATCAGAAGTAATCTTCAAAGCCCCCTTCCTTATCACTGTCATAGCTCTCTGTTCCTGCAATATTATTGTTCTACAAGATGAGAAGAAGGATGATTCCATTAACAATGTATACCTTGTGCAAAATCTTTATGTTTTAAGGGGATCAAATCTATATTTCTAGATGAAGACATAAGCCATCGAAAAGCTAATCAAATTTTTAGTTCTATAGACAAATTGACTTGCATTTTTTCATGGGTTTTTAGTGCTATTACCACTGACCTTTGGCTTCTGTGGTCGATAGATCCTGAACAATGACTTGCAACTGATTCGGGTTAAAATTCGAAAAATTGTCCGAGGAAGGAGATGGAGCCGGAAAAGTGAAATCCGAATCAGTTGATGAAGCTTCAGAGTTCTCAGAGCTATCAGCAAGATCATCGCGCACAACTGGCGCTGAAGCCAACGTTGAAGTCGACATAGAAGAAGATCTCAAGATGGACTTCAGTTGCGAGAATTGGTCTGACATAGAATATAACAACCTGGAATACACTAAATAAGACTTAGCATAAGTAAATGTACACTATTTGAAGTAAATAAAACTACTGCAGTTTGGCTTTTTTTTCAGTCAATATTGTCTGAAAGAAGATATATCTAAGATAATATATACTTGTTAGAAGTACGAATCAATAATACCTGTTCAAAGAGTCTTGTAGTTGGTAAACTCTTCTTTCTGTTTCTTCTAATCTTTTGCGTCTTCTCTCACCGAGTTCTCGGGCTTCAGCACATTTTCTTTCCGAAATATCAGCTCTTTGTTTCTCAACTTGCAACAAGGCCTGGAGAGTATAATAAATTTTCAGTTTATCCTCCTGATGCGTTTGATTAAGATGATAGCCGCAATACATGTTGTTTAGGATATATGGTTGTCTATCAATAAAACAGTTTCAAAATCCAGAGATATGAAGCATGCCGTGTCTAGAAGCTGTTCAAAATGTTGGAGGGTATAGAAAAATTACCTTCAGCATCTCAACTTCTGCAGTGAGGGACTCGATTTCTGTATCGCGAATAGGATCTGACATTTGGCTAACAACAGAAAAAGGGTTGTAAGGCTTCTCTGATTTGAGTACAAAGGACTTCTCAATTCCTTCTTCTGCTTCGATGGAATGTGTTGTGTTTCTTTCATGTCCTATCTCTTCATCATCACTATGCTCTGAGTGCGTTACAAAGGACTTTTCAATCCCATCTTCTGCTTGGATGGAATGTTTTGTCTCTCTTTCATGTCTTATCTCTTCATCATCACTTTCCTCTGAATGCATTACGAAGGACTTTTCAATATCATCTTCTGCTTGAATCGAATGTTTCGCCTTTCTTTCATGTCCTATCTCTTCATCATCACTTTCCTCTGATTGCATTACGAATGACTTATCAAGTCCATCATCATCTGCCAGAATGGAAAGTTTTGGGTATGGCTTTTGATCATGTTCAATCTCTGCATCAACAGTTTGCTCTGAATGTTGTACAAACGACATATCAACTGCCTCTTCTGCTCCATTGGAAAGCTCCACCTTTCGCTCATGTTCTGCCTCTTCCATTTTGTCAGCCTGTACCCATGATTTACATCAATTCCAAAACCAACTACTTCTTCCTCGAATGAGACAAGCCATGTTCTGCTTATATTTACATACTGCAGAGACTAAAACATTTGATACTCAAACAAGCTACATGGATTGGTTTGTAATACCTTCTTTGACTGTTCCAACTGTTTCCGGGCAACTCTTCCTCTAAGTCTACTTTGATAAATAAGAGAAGCTCTTTTCAATTTCTTGTAGTCAGATATAGCACTGTAACCACGCCAATATGCCTGCAAGTTGCTTAGAGTTATAAGTCATTTCTAGTTCTTGAGATAAATGGTTCCATGAGCATTTGTTAAGTACGGAAAAAAGTAATGAGAAAAGGACCTGAATCACAATTGCTGCCTTAGACTTCAATTTATATCGGAATTCATGACGGGCAACCATTGTGCGCACTCCACTTTGCAAGGCGATTGCGGAAGATTTGGTCCTTCCGTAATCTTTCTTGGCAATCTGTCTACGTAAGTTTTTCTGGATTTTGACAGCAGCTTGCTCCCTTCTCATGTCCTTGGATATCTTTCGTGCAATATTTCCTAAAATACGAAAGAGAGACTTTATCAGCATTGCTAATTATCTGGGCATATCAATGACACCATAACGCCAAAAGAAGATCTGAGGCATTCACCTCTCCAATTAGCCTGTATATTAACTGAAGCCTTCCGCATGAGAACAAATCGTTCTCTTGTCAGACGAGTTCTAACTTGCCCTTGAATCATACTTGCTGATTCGCCAAGCACTCTTGTTCTGTGAGCATCTAGCTCAGCCATCTGACCAGCTCTCAGAAAAACTTTACTTTTTCCAATCTGCAAATTAGATTTTATATCAACACGCACCATGGGGAAATCTGAGAAACTCAATTTTGATAGGATACTGAAAATTCTACATGTATTCAACTCATCCGAAGCTTGGATTCCTTTAACATTTAAGATAACTTCCTAGGAACCTTACCTGGTAACCTGTAAGCCCCTTTTTCTCCAAAATCCACTTGCATGCAACTTCTGCTTCGTACCTGATTACAGTGTAAGGTAAGGAAACCGCTGTATACAGACTCAGAAGCAATAAGGTATACAACAGCGTAGAAAGATTAAGCTTAATGGGTAGAACTGATACATACTCTCCTTTCAGAATTTCCGGTGCAAGAATGATAAATCGATTTAAGAATTCAATGAAAGTCCTATTTGTTGGATATCCAGCGCATTTCACTCTGATGGCCTCAAGAACACCCTGCACAAGACAAAGATCATGTAACACCTCAAGACATCAAAACATATCGTTATGGATAATTCAAAGGAAACACTGACCCCAGAGCGTAACTGATGCAAGACATTGGCATTGTCAAACACTGTTGGTTGCAACAAATTGTTTGGCTTAACACATCTGATGTAGTGGGGTTCCGTAGAGTTCAGTGTCTCCATCAGCTGTTGCAATTGTAGCTGCACCAAATTAGTTGAATATGTCAGCCCGTACAGATGATGAGTGTGGCATCAAAAGTTCAACAATTTCAAATTTGTGGTCCAATCACCCAGTCCTACTTATCAGTTGAAAATTCTTAATGGATTTGCAGGAAAGTCACCTTAAAACGAGCGCCAATTGAGGAAAACTTAGATTTGCTACTCTCTTTAGGAAGAGGGGGAAATAGGCCAGACACAAAAGAACATTTGGAAGCATTTAACAAATCCTGATGCTCAGCAACAACATAGTCTTTGTTTTTGTCTAAAAATTGATCGGACTGGTATTGAACCTGAAAAGCAATAACATGGAAAAGAGACCTTAGAAATCATATTATATATCTACTTTTACTTCTGAAAGCAACAGAATGTGAAGTGCAAACTTACATCCCCTGCATAATGAACTAATGTAAAATCTGATCGTGTCAATTTTGGTTTTATGAAGCGTTTATGATCCTTGAATGTTTGATACAGCTTCTCGGAAAATGTTTCAGGAGTTGATCTTGGTAGCATGCTGCAGAGAGTAAGCATCTTAACAAATAATTATGATGATTGGAGAAGATGGTTACTATGTAGCAAAACAAAAGGTACAGCTACGGGTAGATAAAATTTTATCATACCATGCTTCATCTAGAAGAGCAATAATACCACCCGGCTTCTGCAAAAGATAGGAATCAGTTTTACAGGAAAAAAAAAAAAACAATGTCTAGTGAACCAGGACACTTGAATTACCCAAATTGCTCACAAATTCAATATAGAAAACAAACAGATAAATGGATAATAAAACAAACCTTTTCAATCAGGTCCACTACATCTTGATTATCAACAAACTCCACATAGCTCCAATCTATTTCTTCTTTCTGATATTCACCTTGTTCCATTTTGAATACATGCTGTACAATATTTATGAGTTCAGATTAATTAACAGAATCCTGAGTCAAATCAGAAGCCATATCCTACGACTAACCTCATACCTGGTTGAAATGCTGTTGCAGCTTTTCATTCGTGTAGTTAATACAGAATTGCTCAAAACTGCACCGAAAATAGGAACAAGTCAGTGAACAACTGAAGTACTGGTTCGATTAAGTGATGCTATAGATATCTCTTTAGACTTTGACAACTTATAGAAAGACACCAATTCGTAAGATCACAAAATTCGCAGATGTCAAAGATAAATAATACGTTTTATCATATCTCAGCTCAGAGTAAAGGTCTCTATACAATGTACCCTTCATACTAAAGTCAAGAGAAAAGAGGAGTTGAAAAATTTATCTTTTAGATGCTAACACTAGGTGTTTTTGACAAGTAAGATAATCACCAAGCATATGCTTGTACACTAAGCCATGCATGCTCTTGGCAATCACCTGTTGGTTTTAAAGCTCTCAAAACCATAAATGTCAAGGACTCCAATCAAGCGCCTCGAATGAGAATCTTGCCCAATAGAGATATTTATTTTGTTTACCAACCTGGATAACAATAACGAGTAATGACTTATCAGATCTCACCCTCAGTGGCATATGAAACATATAGATATTTGAACATTGACGTTGAAAATTACCAATCAAATAGTCTAGAGTATATTGTCTTTGCTAAACCATCCCTGCTAACGGCAGCGCCAAGAGGATCAAGACTTCTCTTGATAACTTCTTCTGGGGTGACCATCATACGCTTACACAAAGCATCTTCTAAGGAATTGGGATCACACCTAAAATAACAAGTTGTAATTACACGCAGTACAATTATCAAATATTAAGTTGGAAAAGTAGAAGAACCATAAAATACATGAGCAGTTCTGATGTCATTTGGAGATGAAACACTGATTGTTCATCTTTTAGAGATGATGAATCAGCATCTTCTCCCTTGGAAAATTCAATATTTCCAAGATGGAGAATGGCAGCCACAACTCTGAAAATTGCATCCTGAGGAGACGAAAGAAGATAAGTCGTGTCAATTTGCAATTAACAGGTGATAAGCATATTGCAAAGAAGAAAATTGCAAACCTGTTCTTTTTCACTTATTCCAACTACATTCATAGCCCTTCTAGTAGCAAGATACTCTTCTGCATCATTTACACCATCAAGTTCGTAGCAGCTAGATTGGTTAAGATAGCGAAATGACTTGGGATCGCCTAGCTTAAACCTCTCAACATCCTGCCAAATTTAATATCGTCTATCATTTCAAAGATTTATCCTATAAAAGGTGTGGACAACTTAGATATTCTACCTCTTGAGGAGCAGCACACAGGAGATAAAAGCAGTGATAGTTACGTTCAGGATCTGAAACTTGACAAACACGAGACCTCTCCAAAAGGTAAGTTCTGATGGCTGCCCCTGATATCCGGCCAACATCATCAAATTGAATCTCCACAAATTTTCCAAAACGACTGCAACAAGAAAAAATCATAGTGATAACTTCCATTGGCAGCAGGTAAAAGAGACAGGAGGACAAGCAAAGGGAAGGAAGGAGAAATGGAAGCATTCAATAACAATAGCTCTAAGTTTACCTGGAATTGTTGTTCTTGACAGTCTTCGCATTTCCAAATGCTTCGAGAACTGGATTTGACTGTAACATAACCCAGTTGGCATAAAGAATTAGATTCAAGAAAAGAGAGGGCCCAAGTGGTATCACAAATAAGTAAGCTCCAATCTAAGGATTTCAAGGCAGGGCTATATCTTCAGACTGTGTATTCAAGAAAGCTTAACAAACAAAATTGTCTTAATTCTGGAGCAGGTAAAAGGGATAGGAAGTCTTCGACATAGCCTTGAAATTTCTTTGATTCATGCAGCAAGGTTAAAACCTCGCTCTCCGAGTAGTTTTTAATAAATTGGATCATCAAAACTTACTTCTAAAACTTGGTTTTCAACTGTCCTTCCTTCTGCTGCAGTATGCCCTCCAAAGTATGCAAGGTAACGCATGAGCATCTTAGTCGTTTCTGTCTTTCCAGACCCACTTTCACCACTGACCAATATGCACTTATTTCTGCCTTCATTAATCATTTCCCTGTTGCAAAATCTCTCAAAACAATAAACAAAAACCCCCTTCTGCCACTTTTATAGAAAACAACAATATATATATATATATGAACAAATAAAGAGCTCATAATCACCTATATGCAATGCCACCGATTGCAAAAACATGAGGACTCAACTCTTTGAACGAGGCTTCCTTGTACTTTTCCATAACCTCAGCATCATAGAGATGGGGAAGTCCTTGAAAGGGATTGACAGCAATAAGAATGTTTCCTGTATAAGTCTGTCATGATGTCAAAATATTATAACAGACTATCACTGCATTAACTAAATGGCTTTTACCAAGGACCATGATCAAAATATTTGGTTTGCAACCAGAAATGAATTATTCTTACATAAATTTCTTTCAGGTTATATCTGGTTGCCAAGTTGTCAAGAACTGCAGGCTCGTGCAGGTAAGATAATCTTGTCATGTCCTCTACTCCCTCTGAAGGAGCTTCAACGTCTTTTGGATAGAGTTTTGATAAGTTAGCAATAACCTGACCAGTAAAAGGAAATGTGAATCAGAAGTATGGAAAGCAAAACAGCACCAGTAGAAGCCTGAAATGGCATAGACGAAGTAAAACAACTTTCCTTGGCGATCATTGAGTGACGAATCCTAAGAGAAGTAGATAACTGGAGAAGAAGAAGAAGAGTCTTTTACCTCTCTGCCATCATTGGTTTTAACCTCGGCTTCGTCTCCCTTTATATTAAGTACAACACCATCAATCCATGCTATTTCTGAGTCTTCCACCCAAACATGAGAATCCACCATTATACTTTCCGCCATTCCGTAAGAATCTTCCTAGCATTTCAGTAAACACCACAAACTTTCAGCGAATGGTAAGTACATTCTTGTGATTTCACACATCTATGTATCATTCTAAAAAGGCACCAACACATAATTAAATCCCAATGATCAAAAACCATTCTCGCATTGTAACCACAAAACGGCAATAAATTAAACAAAGCAAAAAATCCCATGAACCGGAAAAATCGAAGTAGATGGAAAAAAAACGAACACCTGTGGCTATAGCTCCCTCAATCGCTATTACGAAACGCGTAAATCTTCAGCAGTTTCGATCAACGAATCTCAGAAGAAAATCGGATTCGATGATAATAATGCGTATAACACCAAACCGATGAAGCTCGAATTTCATGGACGTGTAATCGCTCCTTCTTCTTCTTCTGGATTCAAACGCAAAGTTGAAAAAATGAAATTTGTTTCTCATGGCGTGAAATCGGAGAGTGACGCAAAAACTCCCCTTCGGTTTCGCCATTCCTGTGGACACCATTGTCTCTCTCTCTTTCTCTTTCCCACCCATTTTTAGCGGAAGAGCAAAAACACCAGTATCTGTATATCCATTGTCAAATCTAGACCCAGAGTTTGACCCGACCCGCCAAAAAAACCCGACCCAAGATTTCGAATCTGAAAATTTACATTTTTTTTTCTCTTCAAAAAAATTATATAAAAATCCAAAATTTCTTGCCGGACAAGTACTGATTTGGGTCTTAAAGGGTAAAAGAAGTCATAGAGCTAAACCCTTTTCTTCTTTCTTGTCTCTCATGAGCAATCCTAACAAGACTCTGTTGCAACAGAGCATGGTACTGCCGCTTTTGAAGCTAGGAACCCTAGCTCTACGAACTATCTGCAAACCCATCGCTAATCGCCTCAAAAAAGAAGCTGGAGTTAACCCTGGATTCCGTCAATTCATCGTCAACATTGCACAGGTATATGAACACTCACAAAGTTCCGTTCTTTTGGGTTTGATTCTCCAGAAAAAGATAGAAATTTAGGGTTGTGATCATCGATGGAAACGAGCATTCCTTTGTGTAAAGTCCTGATTTTTGGGGAAGAATCAAGGGTTTATGAAAAGCTTGAGATTGATATGTACTTTTGCGTTGCTTAAAAATGTGAAATTTGACAGGCGAATCATAGATTTACGACGAAGTTACAAAGACGGGCTTCTGGTCGTATAACTGATGCAGTGATTCGTCCTTTAAACGAAGAGAGAGCTGTTCAAGCCGCTGCAGATCTTCTCGGGGAACTATTCGCCTTCACGGTATCTTAAATTTCATGCCTTTTAGTAGATTTTTATTGTTAAAGAAGAAATCTTGATAGTTATTTGGATTCTCTTTCGATGAAGTTGTTCTGCAATTGATACCCTTTAGATCACTTGCTCCTCTTTAAGTAAAAACTTGTTTACATCAATTGAATTGGTTCTGAAATAGACAAGCATGTCTTCTTCTTCTTCTCCTAAAGGTTGCAGGGGCTGCTCTTGTCTATGAGGTACAGAGAAACGCCCGAGGAGAAGCGAGAAAAGAAGAGAAGCGACAACAAGAACTAGCGGTGAGCTATTCTCTTACCGCTTCTCCACAAAACTTGCTCACTTTCTTTTCTTTCAAACTCTTGAAAG